GCACCGCTTGTCTCTTCACCCCTCTGGCACTTCCAGTAGATTATTCCCATTACATCTCCCTGCCTGCTGGCGTGCTGAGCATGGCCTGCTGCACCCTCTACGGTATCTCCTGGCAGTTTGACCCTTGCTGCAAGTACCAAGTGGAGTATGATGCCTATAAACTTTCCCGCCTGCCCCTGCATACGCTCACTTCCTCCACTCCTGTGGTGCTGGTGAGAAAGGATGACCTGCACAGAAAGAGACTGCATAACACGATAGCACTCGCTGCCCTGGTGTACTGTGTAAAGAAGATCTATGAACTCTATGTTGTATGACTTCAGTAGGGAAAAGAGAAACCCACAAAGACAAGTGTATTAAGACTCCCACAGTAACATTTTTTTCCTCTGAGAAGCAGTGGAGACTGGGAAGGCGTTTGGTTTAATAGAGTTGTTATTTTTAAAATAACACATCACTGATGCACCAAGGTTTTTCAGTTCTTCATTACTCTTAAGATGTGGATCTGCAGTGACTCGAGAGCTGTACGCTAGGCTGTGGGAGCCAAATCCAGCAGTGGAACGTTGATGGAAGAAAACTATATAAAGGGGGTGTGAAAGGTTTTTGGTTGTTTTTTTGGGAAACTTTTAAGTATATTGTTTAATTGTATACACAGAACCAGCCCAAAGTTATCATTGCCCATTAAAAGATGAGAATTTCAAATGCTTTTGCGCTTTTTACTACTAAAATGGCTCCTTTTTGGAGTTTGGTTCAAGTGGGGAGGGGACCTAACATTTTGCCATGGTAATTCACACTACTTATATACACAGCAGCAGTGCCCATGTGACCTTGCAATCTGATGAAGGGATGGCTTTGATGAGCAATGGGGTTTGTGACCTTCTGTGCATCATTGCTTCTTGGTGAAGGGGGCCAGTTGTGACGGTATTTATGATGATCTATCTCGAGCACTGATGCTCTGTTCTTAGACTGCAGTGCTGTTCTGACACTTTCCCCCTGAGCTCAGTGGGAACTGGTCTAAATTTCCTGTTGGTGCCAAGCACTTCTTGCTCAACTTACATACGGATTCTTCTCCAGTGTGGACATATCTCCATTGGGTGTAAGATTAAGTTCTCTTGGTGTGGTAGGTAAGTCTTAAACTGCATGGGAGTTAAGGACTCCAGAGGGGAGCAGCTGACAACTTCACCCTTGTCATATTTTGTTACTGTCGCGCACATTTGTGCAACCACTATGTGAAATTAAAATAGTATTAGCAACATGTGCCCATATCATTTACTTCCTTTGGCATTGGTGGTAACGTCTAGAGGAACTTGCCGTCAGTGCAAGAGGCCATCTACTGAACTGTGTAATTGCTAAGTAATTATGCCCTATTCTGGAATTTAAAAGAATTCAATCTAGTGCATAAATTCCTGTTTCCTAGCTGGAAACAGTCAAAATCTGCAGGAATGAAAAGCATTTGTAACTGGCCAAGCTTTCAAAACTGCATTTTAAAGAGGAGTAGACCGAGGCGCCTGTCTCCTCCTGCCAGATGGGATGGCAGGTGTGATCTGCTATAGAACGGCAGCTCTGCTTCCCGTGTTTGTCCTGGACATGAGAGCAAAGCCCTGTAACCTGAACCGGGTATGTACAGGTGTACGGCCTGCTTAAATAGCTGTTGCAACTTGACCTCCAAAGCTGAGGCACTGACCTTGGAATGGAGTCACACAAGGTCAGAGACCAAACTAAACTCCCCGTTCTCCATATGGCACAGCAGGCCAGAAAACTCCCTGTCACGTCGAAATTTCAGCAGCATAGTTTGGCTGAGGTCTGGGATTTGTAGTCTTCTGTTTTCATTTAAGCATCTGGTATGGAAGGCAAAGCTTTTGTTTCAGGCATATGTCCTCTCCCTGCACAGATACAGGTAAGGCTATGTTTATGTCATGAAAGTCACATCCCTGACTTCCGGAGACCTCCAGGACATTCTCTGCTTCAGCCTCAGGGGCTGCAGAACTCGAGCTTACAGCCAGTGAGGCCCTCCTCAGGGTTCCAGTGACAGGGGGACACCTCGGTCGAGTGGCTGGGGGTGTCCCATTTCCTCTTTGGGAAATATGGTCACCCTGCAGCTTCCAGTGGCCGTGGGCAGAGGGAGAACCTCAAAGCTCCCAGCCACCACGGTGGTGGGGGAAACCATGGAGCTGCAGCAGCAAAAGTCACACAGGTCACGGCTTCTATGAATTTTTGTTTTATTGCCCGTGACCTGTCCGTGATTTTTACTAAAAATAACCATGACACAATCTTAGCCTTAATGACAGGCTAATGTTTCACAGCCCCCAAACAGCGTTTAAGTAACTCAAATGCTCAGATTTAGAAATGCCTATAAACAATGCCAAATGGAGGCTTTAAAGGGAGTTCTTGTGGAATCAGGACTCAGTTCACTTTTCTGACTCTTGGGCCTGGGCTGGCCTCACTCGACAATGGCCATTGTGAAAGCCCTGGCCTTTGTTCTGTTACAAAAGCTGCTAATACAGCTATCTCCAGCCAAGGTTAAAAGTAGCTGAGATGTCAGAGCTATTTTATTTATAGCAACAAGGAGCAGCTGCCTGCACTTTTTTTGTGTGTAGGGGGAGAAGAAACAAATGCTTTGTGCCCAGCCTGGGAGTTGTGTGTCCAACTCTTTCATTTCTCAAGTCTTGCCTTAAAGTCATCTGGAACGTACCACTTGGCAGATGGTATCTAGCTGGCTTGGACTCCTGCTGCCGCACAAGGCGCTGGAATATTTCTGCACCTACCTCCTTTAGCAATGCTGTCCAAAGCAGAGGTTTCTGCCTGACGGGGAGAACTGGCAAGACCACTTGTTTCCTTTCACTGCCAAGGAGCCTCTGTGCTGGTATCTGTCAGTGTCACTCCTTCCCTTGCCCAGGAGGGGTCACTGTGCCTTGGAACTAAACCCTACCGGGCTCTCCTTGTGGGCATCTGGATCAGCTGAGGTTAAGTGATTTTTAAAAAATGGGTCAAAGGGTGGGGTATTTTTTTTATTACAAGCTGAAATGTGAACAGGCAGCTGGACCTACTTGCTACAGTGAGCAATTGTTCCATTTTTTTACAGTAACTCAGAGCTGTCACTGCATCCAAGGCATGACAGGACATGTGGAAACACACCTCACTTGAGCTCTAACTTTCAGAGGTCACTATCAAGGAAAGCCAGCAACTATCATGAATGTTTGTCCCAGCAAAACAGAGATTGCGCCTTAATCACAAGAAGAATTCAGTGCTTTAAACACAAGAGAAATGTGCAGGTAGAAACAGTGAAGGCAGGATCCAGCTACCAGCTCGGGTGGAAGGGGAGATTCTGGATGGTGTACTAAAAATTGATTCTTCCTGTATGAAGTTCCTCCTAAGCCTCAGTAGTGTTTGGGGTGAAGCTCTTGGTATAGCAGGGGTAGGTGGGGGGAAGATAAAATGCTCTACCGTGGTATGTGTAGGGAGAAACAGCCCAGAACTACCTCGAGTGATTTGACAGTGCAGCACCATTCCCTGGCTGCTAGTGAATTCTGTGCCATCTGAAAGCCACAGTGTGAGTTGTGAATGAAGCAGTGGCCTGGGCCTGAGACTGTCAGTTCTGCCTGTAAGGGGATTATCAGCACTAGGAGATAGTGAGGAGTCACTATAGAAGCTGAGGTTTAGGATGGCTGTGTCGGTTCACTGCCCCCCCCCCCCATCCCACTTCAATTAACTGAGATGGGATGTAGCTGATTCCACCAAGGGAAGTTGGGGGATAAAAACAAGTGCAAAGCATGGTCAGTAACCTACACAATGGAATGAGTTGTGCAGGTAGCCATCTGCACCAGCCCTGCTTACAAGAGCTACCCCCTCGCCTTTGTGTAAAGCTTGTAACCCTTGCAGGTGAGGTTCTCTTGGCCTGCAGGGGTTAGGATCCCTAGAGGGCAGCCTCCTCCCCAAAATGAGTACTCCAGTCCCTACTGCTGCCTGGCCACCATTCCTGCAGGTGGGATGCTCCGCTGCCATGGAGTGCTTGAAGTATCTTCTGAAACTTCATGAGGGAGAGGAAAAACTATTTTGCAAATATGAATAATGTGCAAAATCCCCACTGGCTGCTACAATGCTATTTCTGTAAATCCATTCAGTGTACAGTACAGTTCTAAACCAATTTCATTATCAGGTAACATTCCTAGCTGCTTGAGGTGATGTGCCAGAGTGTACCTAGCCTTGTGGTGATTGCAAGCGGCATCTAGAATGGTAATTTGCCAATTTGTGCTCTGTTGGAACCACTGTTAGGGGCTGAAGATGGTGTAGGTGGAAGAGACTCGTAAGAAGTGCTGTATTCCACTAACAGTGCAAGGATCCAGGTAGGTTAAATGACATACTGGCTGTGTAGCAAGAACTACACAAAACATATCCATTGTAGGAAGGCATGAAAACTTAAGCTAGCAAACACAGAACAAGTTCCCCTCGGTAGAAGGGAAGCTCCCCTCCCAAGGAGGAAGTGGTTAAAGACAACAGTGCCTGGTAATGCCTTGGATTTAAGTCTTAACTGGGAGATCCTTCAGCTTCAGTTAGTACAGCAGAAAGCTTCCAGCAGCCCTAACTTCAGCTCTGAGATTTTGCACAAGAAGCTTGTGGTGTCAGCCATCCAAGGAGTTGTAATGTTTATCTTGTTACCAGCTCTACAATGTAACGTTTTGCTAGGGCTTTAGGGGCGAGGGTCACCACAGAGCAGAAGCAATTCAGTACTTTAAGGTGAAAACCTGAAGCAAGTTTCAGAGGGGAAGGCCCTCCAAGCCCCTCACCTTTGCAAAAGGCTGTCCTTCACAACTGAATAGAAGCTGGAGAGGGCTACTCTACAAGTGAGACTGTGCCCAAGCCAGCAGAGCCTAGGACTAAGGGGTATGGTGCTATAATGCCATCTTAACTCCCCATTGGCAGGGCACCAACACAGGAATGCCCCCAAATTAGCTTCAGCTGCCTTGCCTGACAGGGGCTGCAGCACAAAACACTTCATTTCAAACCCCGAAGGGACACAGCGTACAACTTTTATTTCCATCATCACTTACAGGCAGGACACACGCAAGAGTGGTAAAGTGCGCAGAAATGGAGACTAAGAATAAGCACAGGACATGGGCTAGCAGCTGAGTGCGGGGATTGGGTACGGATAGATTTTACTCGGTTTCTGCTATCAGGGTTTTTTTTAAATAAGGAAGCTAAGAATGAGTCAGCTCCCCTTCTGCCTGCCCTATCAAACAAGTGGAAAATGGAGCAACACTACCCTGCTTTAGGGTACAGATTCTAACCTTCCCACTAGTAACCAGTGTTCGGGAGAAGGGATGAGCGTCCTGCCTCCCTCTGTGAGGGAGATGCTCCATTAGGCCCAGGGAAAATGGGAGACGAGACAGATAGTGCCCTCTCCCTGGAGCCTCAATGCTGAAGTTGTTTAGCAAGATACTGCTTCCACACTGTATTTTGGGGTAATAGGTCCCAATTAACACATAATGGCTTTAAAACAGGTAAAACCATATGGGTCTGTCTCCATTAGCTGCACCTACAGGTTCACTCCCCCCCCCCCCCCTTGTCATCACAAGGCTTGGTGCCTGGCACTAAAGGGGTCACAGCTTATTCCTTGCTCTAGGCACACAGCAGAACAATGCTGGGTGTCTGAGTGTGTTACAGTCAAAGGTTCACATTGGTGCTGCCGCCGCCTTTCCAGGGGTTCCGTGCTTACAGGGCAGCAACATTCACTGGAGCCGAACGCTGCTGTGGAGGGCTGGTCGTTCTAGAGCTACTTTAGAAAAAGGCTAATACAAAAACTGATCTGAAGGCTAGGTGGCTTAATGGGTCACTTGTGCTCCATCCAGTGCAGATATCCATGGTGTCATTCCTAACCTGGAGTTGGGCACTTTAAACTGTTTAAAAAGCAGCACTGAACAGGTAATTTTGGCTTAAATCAAGTGATGCGGTGTACCAGGGACACAGTAGACCATTCCAACCCAAGGGATAACTTCTGGATCAGACTGGGGGCAGACTCTGCTCTGGAGAGCTCCTGGGTGAGGACTGAAGTTCACTGGGAGCACTGGGTGGGGAAAAATAACATCTATCCGCCTGTGCTTGGCTTTAGCCAGCACTAGTTCCTACTCACTGGAGAACAATAAAACTCAAAATGAGGGTGGGGAGAGTGGGAAAGGTTCTCCTCAGGTATCCTCCCCTGCAGCTTCAGCCAGTCCACCTGTAGTAGAGGAAGCCTTCTCTAGGTGATGGTGGGGCACTGTGGGCCTCCCGTGATCCGCATGGACCTTCCAACTCTGCACACAATGGTAAGCTGCAACCTTTTCAATTTGTTTCTTGAAGTAACACATCCATAGACAAAGCCAAGATGCTTGAGTTCGTTTCCTTGTCCTAGTCAATGCCCATGAGAGCTGAGCTCTGACTAAGAGTCCTTCGCTTTCCTCTCCTTTCTTGCTCTAGATGCCATAAAAGTGAAGAAGAGTCTGGGGGACAGAGTTCGCAGGTAAACAGCCAGGGAAGGCAGTAAGCCAGCTACGAGCACCTCCTTCTTCTTCTGCCCCACTGCATTAAGAACCACCTGAGCCACCTCTGCAGCTGTTCTGCCTTCAATGGTGTTCTTGTCCATAACTGTAAAGAGCAAAGGGAAATCGGTATGCAGGGCAGCAGGTAAGCACTCGTTTCTGAAGGGTTATTTCCCCAAGAAAGCTCAGCTCACATAGTGTTTTGTTGTCAGTGAGACTCTTGCTTTTAAACCAATTTCAGGTGGGTTTGTTGGGAGCCCAAGTTTGGAGTGATGGCTAAGCTCAGGTCAGTAGACCGGGGTCCTCCCAGATCCCAGGCCATTGCTCCACCACTGAAGCATGTGATCCACCAGAGGCATTAGTAGACATTTTAGTTCAGTTATGGATGGAGGCTCCAATGTTGAACGCTCTCAAGTTTCACTTGCTGCCATTTGACTGCATAAATGCCAGGTGCATATTGACTGGCTGAAGTGAGGGAGAATATGGAGAGTTTCCATAGTCCCCAAAGGGGGCTGGAGCTATAGTTCAATAATCTGAATTCATTTCCCTCCTTCCCTCTCAACTAACTGTCTCCTTTCTATTGTATATTCTTTGTATCCCTGTAACTAACAGAGACACAAGGTGGATGAGGTAATATTTTTTTTTAAATCAATAGAAGTTGGTCCAATAAAAGATATTACCTCATCCACCTTCTCTCTAATATCCTGGGACCGATATGGCTACAGCAACACTAAGAAACACTGTCAATTAAAACAACGAGGAGTCTGGTGGCACCTGAAAGACTAACAGTTTTTTTGGGGCATAAGCTTTCCTGGGTAAAAAAAAAAACACTTCGTCAGATGCCCTAATAAATCTGTTAGTCTTTCAGGTGCCACCGGACTCCTCGGATACAGACTAACACGGCTATGCCTCTGATACTGTCAATTAAGCTCGTTTCAAACAGGTGTGGAGTGCCACAGAATTGGCTTGTTAAAAATGCCAGCTCCTACATACCATTTAAAGCCCCTTGAGGTCCCTGTATAACCCCCAAATCGCAATTTATTCTTTGTGAGAGATCTCAGCTTTTGTGCTACTCCTTGGAGACACCCCTACAGCCAGCATCCAAAGCCGTTCCCTGAGGCAAACCCCATCCCCCAAACTCCTGAGGCCGATGCAACCCTTTTGTAGAACTCTGTTAATGCAATCACTCTCTTGCCTGCAACATGGAGATCTGGCAAATTGCCGAGGCGGAGGCGTTGAGAGTAGTTTGTTAGCAGAGAAGTGATCTTGTTTCCTATGAGTACAGAAGGCCAATCCTCACCTCCATAGCGAGATCCATCTGCAGTTACAGCATTGACAGACAGATTTGTCTGAATATAGCCAGGGCTCACAACAGTCACATCGATTTCATACTGTTCCATCTCCGCTCGCAGACAGTCAAAAAAGGCCTGGGTGGCATGCTTGGAGGCTGCATCTGCAAAACACAACTTGGGCATGCAGTCAGAGGGAGGAGGAGCAGGGTTCAGGCTAATTTTTTCACCTGCAACCCCTCTGGCACTAGAGCACAGCACCATTTAACAGCACACTGCAACCCTGTATTCCTTTGTTACAAGAAGCGAAGAACAGCAACTCTTAATGGAAGTTAGAGGCATTTTCAAAAGGTCATTACTCAAGTTGGAAGCTGGCCAGGATGCAGGGCTTCATATCTGACTTGGGCAGAAGGCCCTAGAACAATTCTCACATCTGATAAGAGAGCTGGAGTTCAGCATAGAAGAGCAACTGAGGAAATACATGGTTGAGGCAGAGCAGAGCGGGAATATAATTCCCAATAGCAGGACAGCAGGACCTGGTATGACAAGGCATAGAGCAGGCTCAGGGAGCGGCTTCTTTACTTAATTAAAAACCTGATCACACAACAAGGTGGGAGCAGAGATAAGTCATACAGCCTAGGGCAGGACTTGTTCACCTCTTTTCCATGCATCCCCCCACCTCAACTGAGCTGCTGCCCAAAGTCTCTCTTCCCAGTCCAATAGGAATACTCTAATCCTCTGCCAGCATGGAGTCTGCAAGACTAGATAATCGGCATCTCTTTTCTTCCCTACTCCAGGCTCTCATTAAGTCCTGTCACCTTTATGCGGTCTCTCAAATCCATATCCCCTTCATCATCCCAACTTCCAAAACCTAGGTCCATGCCTGGAGCATATTGTATCAGCTACCTCAGCTTCCACCTCTCATCTTGTTCTCCCCAAATCTAATCTATTCAAAACATTACCATTGTTATCTTCTTCTGCTGCTGCTCTGACCACGTCACAACCCCTTCTTGAAATCCTTCACTGGCTTCCCCTCTCCTTCTAGATCAAGTTCAAGCTCCTCCCCTATCGGACTCTTTACAGTTCCACTCATTTCATCGTACAACCTGTCTCTGCATTCCTCCTTATTCTCTGTTCCCTCTTATCTCTCAGCTTTGTACCTGCTTTTCATCCTGCAGTCTATGCTTGAAATGGTCTCCAATTTCCCATGTTTCAAGCACTCTCCCTCTCTCCTTTCAAATCCCTATTTCCTTGAGGTCTCCGACACTAATTTTTTCACAGATTGCTCTTGTCTTGAGTCTGAATTATTACCCTTGTATGTCCAAATTCGACTGCAGGCTCTTCATGCCAAAGACCTTATCTGCTTATGCATTTTTTTGGTAAAGCAGTGTGCAATTTACTGTGCTCTTTAAGTAACAGGATACGCTTCTACGTTCCCAGGATCCTTATACCCAGGGAGAACTGTCACGCAGAAGCCAGGAAAAGAGCAATGATAAACGGCAATACGATTATGGAACTAAATCCTAGTAACTAAAGTTTGCAGGGGTTCTCAGACACTAGCATGGATTGATGCCATGAAGCTGTCAGGGTAAGGAAGGAGATCCTGGCCTGCCCTCCCCTGAGAATTTTAGACCAGAGCTTCAGTCTATGAAGATTTTAAGACTTGTGTTCAAGGCTCCCCTCCCTTGAACACTTCTGACCACTGTGTCAGAGGGTTGAGCCCACATTGAAAATGTTCCACAGCTCTTGCATTTCATGCATAGTGCCTCCTCCAAGGATGGGAGCAGTGGAAATAGCATCCAAATATTCAGCCCTCCACGCAAGTGCCCTGGACTCCTATTCCCCATCCTGCATACAGGTACTGTACTTACATGCTGATCTGAAAGGAATGCTTATTTTGCCTTGAACGCTGCTGATCACCACAATGTGGCCTTGTTGTCTTTTGATCATGGAGGGCAGAAGAGCTAGAGAGAGGGGGGGAGACTCATTCAGAAGAACAATAATTGCTGTTACTGCTACCCAGAATCAGTGTTTATAAGAGCAGTGCCACTACGAAACCTGGGGTCATCTAAGGTCTGCTGATCCAATTTAGGAGCAGGGTCAGGGGACACTGGTTAACAAGATGCTCACGTTAAAATGAAAGCCCCTTGTTAGGCCCCAGATTAAGCAATGCCAAGAAGGTCCATTCTCTCCTGGTTCTTCTCTTCCCCCCTCCCCCCCCCGCCCCCAAAATCTTCCAGCTCCACTTGAGACTGCAATACCAGAGGCACCCTCCATCATGAACTATTCTACACACTCCTAATGACTCATGAACCATCCTCCTTGGAGTCAAAAGGGTATGCACCATGATTGTCACTTTAAACCTGAACACTAACTGCAGCTTCAGCTGGGATAGCAAACCTGGCTATTGCAGTCTGGCTGTGCTCTCTGGGCTTCTACTAGGGCAGAGGGGAGAACAAGGCATTTCTTGAAATGTTTACTGAGCTAGAATCAGAGGAGGTTTGAAGAGGAAGGTAGATAGACTTTACCAAATGTTTGTGCAGCATCGAACGCAGTATGCCCTGATCTTGACCACCAAGCACTACAATAACACACAGCACCCCCCCCCTCCCCCCCCAGCATAAGGTCATGGATAAGAGTACAACAGATTCTAGTTAAGCCAAAGCAACTAAGCACAGGTCACAGAAGACAGGCTCTGCTGAGCCCATCTGAACTCTGGGCAATTTTAGGCAGGACTGGAGGGTTTACATTCTACAGCAAAAGTGGCAGGATGCACCAGGGAGCCACAGAAACGTTACAAGGCGGGGGAGAGGCAAATCACTTGTGTAGAGAAAGAAATGCTATCAAGAAGGGTGTGTCTGTCTTTTTCTAACCCTCTATGGCTTGGCAGAAGGAAACTCCTCTTGGAAGTCAAAAGGGGCTTTTGCTCTTGATTTCAATATTTCTAAACTTGTGTCAGGTAACCACTTCCCAGATGGATCCCAGTTTTGCTGTCTACACAGAAACTTTTCCAAACCAGACTAAAACAAAATAGTGCTGTCACCAGGGATACACAAATAATATGGGCACGCAACAATTACAGAAGAAACTATCCTAGTGCAAGGGCCTCTGAGAATTGAGAGAGCAAAGAGAGTTCAGGAGTTTTTTTCTGAAGAATCTTAATAGGATTAAGAATGGGTGGCAACGTAAAGTGGAGGGCAATGGTAAGCAGTTAGAACAGCTGGAGAGGCAAGGACAAGGGGCAGGGGTAATCCCCATCTGAAGAACTAAGCAACAGCCCAGCCTGAATGCATGAGGAAGGGATAAGTGGTGTATACCTTTTGTGAATGCTATAGGACCAAAGTAGTTGGTTTCCATCACTTTTTTGTCCACATCCATCCCCGTGTCCAATATCGTGCCTCGGTAACTGATCCCTGCATTGTTGATCAGTATGTCCACATGACCCACACACTTCAGGATCTCTTCAGCAGCACTTACTACCGTTTTAGTATCAGAGAGGTCAAAGATCACAGTGAAAGGTTTGTGTATCTGTGAACAAACTACATGTTAGGAAAAGGCTTCTTCTGGGCTCCTGACCATTTTGCCCATTCATTCCCATTTCTTAGGGAGAAGGTGCAAAGAAGAGGACTGTCCCTTCAAAACTGAGAAGGCAGGAGCACCCAACCTTTGTCCAATCATAGGCTGCAGTGGCTACTTGCAAGGAACCCACAATCATCAATAGAGCAAATTTCCATTTCCTTTGGTATGGACTAAAGAAACTACAGATCCCAGCATGCAATGTTCCATCTTGCTCCACAAGGCTTTCTGCTCAAATCCGAAGAACTGCATGCTGGGACCATGTCAATCTCAGATCACACATCCATAGCATGGAGCAGTGATACTTAGACTGAGGCTTGGTAAATGAAAGAATGAAGTCATACTTCTGTGACTCTTTTGGGTAATGTTGATCCTTGAACACTGAGGTCTGAGTATTACTGGTATAGACGGTGCTGCCACTGGCCACATCTTAGAACTCTATGATCCTCACAACTGGGCCACCTCTTGATCTTCCCAGCACTGGAAATAACAAGGGTAATGAAATGGAGTGGCGCGGAGATCAATTTTCTACCTGTGATATCCTGTCAGGGACTGTCCCACGGAAGTCTATCAGGAAGAGTCCACTCTTCTTTCCTACCCACATCCTCCAAGCAGTCCCATCCTCAAACTACTGGGGATTTGAGCCGCAACTTTACAAACATGGATCACCCTTCTGCATTAGGGAAGGGTTAGTGGTGACGTGAAGGGTGGAAGTAGCAAAGACAAAGAGCTATTTAATGAGGAAACTGGCCCAAGAGCACATCAGAAGATTCTTGTGTTGCTTAGAGTTGTGGAAGTAGATGTCAGAGTGCATGGAGGTACCATACACACATCCCTCCAGTTTGTTCTGCCCTGCTTGGGGGGGAATGTGTTGATGGACAGAGGGAGATACAGCTAAGGGCCTCGATTCTATGTTGCTCCATTTCTGCACTTGGTGCAGGAACAAGGTGAAGGATCAAAAGGCAGCTTTAAGTCACCTTTGCATCTCCCTACGGCAGCTCTAAGTTGTGCCAACATGTAACAGCCCTCTGTGGGCTAATAAACCAGTACAGAATAGCTGGAGTGCACTGCACTTTGGCCTGCTCCCAACACCAGCTGCCAGGCAGGGAGTGAGCAAGTGCGATCCCCCTGGAATCTCTCTTGCACCAAAGTGTTACTACTTTGTTAGATAAAATAACTCTGATACAGTCAGAGTCCCAGCCTGTTCTGTTAGCCTGGGATTGTACCTGCACTGCTAAGAACCTTCAGTGGCCAGATACTACCCTTTTATCCAACCAATTTTATAGGTAGAGATCAAAAACAAAACTGAAGTCAGTTAAGTTACTCTGCCAGGGGTACAGGTCTCCATCCTGCATGCACAGACTTGGTTTGTTAGATCATGGATCATTTTTAAGATGGTTGACTCAAGAACATTTTCTGCAAGACAGGACACATCTCTAGATTATATTCCCATACATGCAGCATAAACTGCTGGTAATTGCAGCATTGCAACTTTCTCATTCAACAGGCAATTCTGCCTATCCTGTAATGGCATGAACAGCAATCCCAGCACCAGGATGCAATAGCCCGTTCTCTCCCTACACTTACATTCTTTGCGTGATTGGCCTTGGCAGAGAGCTCCTGCACCAGGTCCTGTAGTCTCTCACCATTTCTGCCACAAAGCACCAATCTGGAACCAGCTGCATGGAAAGCTTTTGCACATTCTTTGGAGGAAGGGGATAAAAGAAGAGCAGATGTTTTAATGCCAGAAACAGATTTCGTATCGACTTTATAGCTGGAGACATGCACTAAAGATCCCATTAGCATGGGTTGGAGGTGGCCATGTGGATCACGTGACCAAATCATCTCGCCAACAGAATCTTAAACTTATAGCAAGATGCATTTTCTTTATACCACATTTCTAATAGAAAAGCTTTTTATTTTTAAAGTAGCATCTTAATTTTTCATCTTTTGTCTGAAAAGCAAGGCTGCCTCAGAAGCATGAGTCCCAGCAGAAAGGCCTTGGAATAAGAGAGAAGCTCTGTCTTTTAGAAACACTTGACCACTGTTAGGCAGTTGGTATGTCCTTCCATGCCCTTTGATCCTAACCTAATGAAGTAAGTCCCTTATTAATTACGCTGGACTGCTTTGTGATGGCATGTAAGGGTGTGGAACAATACGTTGCCAAGGGTAATTAGATGTGTCAATATATAAATAGCCCCGGGAAAAAGATGGCATACGGTCTGCTTGGGGTTTTAATGCAGCAGAGCCTGTAAGAGAGGAAAACTGATTGCATAATGGGCGGAACTAAAATTTTAAAAGGGGATAAGAACTTTGGGCTGGGAGGATCCCTTCTTGCTCCTTAGTTGAAAAGCAACAAGTAGCAAAGCGACTCCCAATAAACGCATGGTATTTAAATTGCAATACGCTACTTTGACTTCAAAGGTCTCTCCCAGGACACTGGTTCTGTCTCTCTTCCAAACAGGAAACATGATGCCCCTCCTGCCCCCTCACACCCACTTGCAGCTCTTCAGTTCTGACTGGCTGAGATGGGCATCCAGTCTATTTTCACCATTCCGCTAGTGAGATTGCTGCTCCTCAAGGACAAATCAAAAAGGTAGGTAGGATACACAAGCTGTACAAGTGACAATGAGAAGTCACAAGACAGCAGAAAGGACATTGTAAGCCCAAGACGCTTTTTTAAGGCAATTCTGGGAAGAAGAATTATAGAGCACATCCACCCAGGCAGCGCATAAGTCTCCCACTGACAAAAGCTACCCGGTCACATACTTGATGGCTGTTCAAATGCACCACCTTTGCGTTTTTTAAAGTTCTTAGCTCCTATTGACAATAGTGGGGTGGGGTGTTTGAACTTAAAATTTGCCCACTTGGGATTTGTACCCAAAGGGGAGAGAAGCATGCATAGAATCATGCCCCCTAACTGTGGGCAGGAACAGACTGGGGAAAAGATAATCTGGAAGTACAAGAGGAGACGAGTCCAGATCACCAGCTCCAGAACGTGTTCTAGAAATGGTCTGTGTCACAGTTCTTGAGGTAACTGCACCTTTAAGTCCTTCGCATCCTCCTTGAGGTCACCCCACTTAGGTCTCAGGCTTCTAGGGAGTCCCAAAACACTCTCCCTATAGACTGGGGATTTAGGCTGCAGTTTCTCTGGCAATCCTCTGTAATCCCCTCAGCAGGCCTGACTTTAGTTCAGTGCCTGCAGTCCTGTTCTCTCAGTGACAATGACAGGGTTAACCAGGGACCAGCCAGCTTTCATAAAGCAAAGTATTTATTCAGAACAACAGCATTTCAGAGAAGACAAATCTTAAAACAATGAACAACTCAGGTACACATGTCTAGCTTACCAAGGGTCACCCATCTTCCACACGGAGACCCTAGCAAGTTTTAAAAGATGCCAAGTCCTTTTGCAGGGCCTGTCCCTCACAGTCCCATGTAAGTTCTTGGATCAGATGTGAGTGGCCTCTCTCCCCCCCCATGTCAGGGGCATCATGTGATAAGGGTTTCAGTTCTTTGTTTACTAGACCTCTTTAATCAGGTCAAAGCAGTCTATGCAATGTGAGGCTTCTCCAGACTTATTACCAACCTGGAGATTTGCATTAAATTGCCCCCCTCCTCCAATGATTTTAGTTCCTGTATAAAACTCCTGTAACTTTCCCATGGAGCCAGAATACAATCTCTAGCCCATACGAATACATCTAGCATTTATAAAGTTGACATAAGAATCTTTGAATTTTCCATGTATCTGTAGGATCTATCAGTCTGCTCTCCTGGCTTTCCCAATATGTTAGGTGGACAAAGGCCCCTGACAGCATAGGGTCTCTGCTACCAGTTATTCACTTCAATGAGCTCTCAAGTTTATATAAACAAACAATAGGGGCCTTTCTAGTAAGGGCTGAGGTATGCTATCCTACATGGAAGTGTGTAGCTGTGACTGGTTTGGATGTACAGCTATTCCCATTACCTCTCCAAGGTGCAAAGGCACAGAACCGTTCTGCTCCGTGCTGTTACATGCTCACAAGGGTGTGGCTCTGAACAAACATTTCCTCTTCACTCATAGCCCTCTGCACCCCAGCTTCCCGCCACCTTGCAGTGCGCTTGGAGACCCACCTTTCCCCAGGCCAGATGTAGCTCCTGTGATCACCACTACTGCATCCTGGAGGTAGGCTCGCATCCTCATTCGCTGCAGCAGCCTGAAGAGGGCGAAGAGCCCCACGCTGCCGAGAAGCAGTGGGACAATGGCTGTGAAGGTGAGATCCATGAGCTTCCCTCTGGGAATGTTCTTCCTAGAGCTACAAAATGAAAGCAAATGAGCATTTCACAGCCAGAAAAGCTAGGAAGAGATTGAAACCTGTTGGTCACCCTTTTTCCCTTAATCTGTTGACCAGATTAAGACGCTAACATACACTTAACCCCCTCTCTGCCCCCCACCCTGGCCCCTCTCCAGCACACAGGACCCAGTTTTCATGTGGACACATTCAGGGAAATGTCAAAATCCTGCACAAAATTGGTAATATCATGTAAATGCCCATTTTAGACACAAATGCCAATTTGAACATCACGACAGGACATTTGGTTTTGGACATCTTAAAGTACCATGTTACAAAGTTAGGCTCAGAGATTCCATTTCCAACGGCCTCCTTTTCTCTCATTTTACATTTTTGTTCACTCTCTGCATTTGTTTTCTTGTGCATGACACAGTTGGACCACATGCTCCTTGGGCTGGGAAGTGTCTGCCCATCTATGGTACTATAAAAACATCTTAGATTTTTCTATAGCATTCATCACCACAGTATCGAAATGCGGATCATAACAGACAAGTACCTATACATTATTCCAGGTGGATATAAGCCAATCCACTTGTGGGGTGGGCGGGTTCCTGAGCCCGGAAGTCTATGCAGCAGCCCTGCAGTTTGAGACCCTTGAGCCTGAGTCGACTGGCATGGGCCAGCCGCGGGTTTTTCTTTAATGTGTAGACGTACCCACAGAGAACAAGAGGAGGTCAGGATCTAGAGTTTGAGTGCAAAACTGGGAGGCAAGAGCCCTGGCACTGACCTTTGTGTTTGGAACAAGTTATGGCAGGGTAGATATTCAACTCCCATTTAGGCATCTAAGCTGTTTTCACTGGGAGCTGGCCACTTAATTGAGGTGCCTATAAGGGAGCTGAGCTATTCTGAAAATCTGGCCCTTAACCTCTTTGCCTCTGTTTCCCCATATGTACAGTGGGGATAGAATACCTTTTAACCGGTTTTACAATGACTGTGATAACCACCCTAGTCTACAAGATATGGACAATTCCCATGTGTTATCTAAAGCAATTCTGCAGTGTCCAAGTTCACACTGATTAGAATTACCTACTGCACCAGGCTCTTGTGGGGATCAGTCATCTGGTTTACTGACCAAAAAAAATCAGCTGCTTTTTAATTCCATTGAGCTATCCCCTTGTTTTTGCATTCTGAAAGAGCATAAATGAGTGCCTGACTCACCACCTCTGTACACCTCACTTCTTATTCATCTCCTCCCTAAACTAGGCACTTCTGTCTTTTTAATTCCCTCATCTGGAAGCCTTTCTGTACCTCTAATCATTTTTGTTGCCCTTTTTTCTATTCTTTCCATATTTATGCATGGGGAAACTGGACAAGTGACCTAATCTCCACCTCAAGATCACAGTGAACCAGATGCACAACCAGCAGCAGGACTTTGATTTTACAATTTCCAAGAAGAAAGAACTGGAGAAACAGGGGGGATACGAATGATCAGAGATACCTACCTGAATAGGAAGGCTTGCCAGCCACCAAGAGACTCTGAGGATGGAATTGGAATGGAATTCTATAAACAAGATTCCCAGGACAAAGAAAGCCCCAACTCAATCAGGCTTGAGACCTCAGGACAGAGATCAGGGACAACATGGTTGATCTTAATGGTCTTGGAGAGGAATAAGCATAGGAAAGAATTACTAAAGTACCTCAGACCTAGATCACTAAACTCTGCTCCAATTTCAGGATCAACTTACAGGTTAAAAAAAAAACCACTCGTTTCTTTGACTTGTAAAACTGAACAAGCTTAATATGGAAGTCACTGAAACAGTAAATATGGAAGAGGAATACTAAGACGTCATGTTTACATAGGCTTTTGTTTAGGCTCACAAACACACTTTAGCCCTTTCTTTGTTGTATTATGTACCAAGTACATCTCATCTGCAGTGCTGGAACAAGTCAGCGCTTTGGAAAACATCACTATGGCATAAGAGTTGCAGCAGTGGCCAACAGTGAAATCATTAACAAGAGAATGAAAAAACATAACAACATGGATACCAGCAACTAACCCCGTTCCTCACAGTCACATGACTTGGGGTAAAAAGGCTTTGCAGAAGAAGGTGACTTGTGTATATGTGGTTCCCTATTGGCTGGTGAAAGCTCCCAGTGATCTGCCGTTTTCTTCACTTGTGGTTTTTGAGAATCCAATTAAAGCAAAAGGCAGCACCAATAGAAAATGGATAGGAAGTAAAAAACTACAAACCCTCTTGTAAACATCCGCGCCCAAGGAACAACCGTCTCGAATTCCATGGTCAACAGAGAAAATACCTTAGTCCACTCTGGGTCTCTTGGTGCTGGAGGACAGTTTGCCCCAAGTAAACACGGCACCAGGTTACTGTATTCCATTCGCCGTTCTACAGTCTATTTTTCTATGGGGAGAGCAAAGGTCCTTCATTCAATCAAGAACATCACCAGGGACCAACACCGCCAGTGGAATTTAAAACCATTAAGGAATTGCCCAGCAATGAATTATGGAAATAAGGACAGAATGGCATGGCCTGATGGCCCCACCATTCAGGACATTTTAGGATTGATTCAAGGAGGGAGCTACTCTCCTGGCCATCTGGGGTTGGAAACTCCAGGGAGGGTTTCGCTCACTAGTCATAGCTTGACTAGAAAACCCTGTCCTACCTTGCTTTCTGGTCAATATATGGAATAGCATGTGCTGTGGAGTATCAGAGGGAATCTGGACACTGCTTGATAGTCCCTAAATGCATAAAAGGGGTGGACAGAAGTAGCTCCTACTATCTGCCACTTAGACTAACTTCCTGATGGAAAGGATTTCAGTGGTTCATGAAAGGCAAGAATACCTCTCACCTTGGCCACTACTGCAGCTCCCATTAAAGTCAACAGAATTCCCTTTTAATGGGAAATAGATCTAGCCCTTAGTTGTTGTGTCCAGTCTCCCAGCAATGACCTGCTGTTGAGAGTTTAGATACAGATAGTGATTGACAGATAGCTTGGAGGCAGACCCAACCTGGAATGGATGGCCACAGAAACCAAGGAATTCAGTACAGGGTGTGCTCTCGTTTATTAAGCAGGGTACTATCAGTTTCACTGAGCACAGCATCTTTGCTGACACAACAGGGTATCAGAATGTGCCCTGATCAGTTTTCTTGAGGTTTACTTGGTGGAGGGGTTGAAGGAATGAGTAGTTGTGAACTGGGGAAGGAATACAGGCTAGGGATCAACAAGGACTTTATCCACAGCACAAAATGTCAAGTTGTAATACTCAAAAGGTTGTGGGAAGAAGGTCAGAAGGCCTAAAACCTGATGAAATTTCAGAGTAACTAAAGGGATCTCAGGAAGAGATACGAGGAGGCAGCCCATATTATCTACCCTGCTGGTTAATTTAAGATACAATGGGCGTACCCCAGACTTCCAGCTTCAAAGTTAAAGATCCCAGCATCACCATTCCAAGACTTGGATCCACTACCTTTTCCTGACAGCTAGAAGAAAGGTTTAAGATGACACCAAATTATCTGGAGAAGAGGGGACTCCAAGCTCATAACTGTTGCAAATCACTGATCATAACTCTCACAACCCCCAAAAGCACAGAAGAACATACAGTTTGCTGGGGAGGAGAAAGGAACTTGAACAGGAGGGTAAATAAAAACTGTAATGAATATAAACAAATACAAATTATTGGGAACTTGTCAAAAAGACTAAATAGTATAAAACAGATCACAGCCACACATGCAAATAATTTCCCCCCGCAAACCAAACCAAACAGAAGGTAGTAGAAGTCAGAGGAGTGAAAGGGTCTGCCTATCAAGTACAAGAGAGCACTAAAGCCCCAAAGACAAGTTAACGTACCAAGGGGCTCTATGAAAAACCACAAACCTAAGACAGTTATATGGTGAAGAACTGTCTCTCATAATACCTATTCTCCTGTAACTCCAGCTTCCTAGAATCACGTTGTACTTTACGTGACAAATGGTACCAACTGGGAGGGTATTTTTAGAAAGCGAAGGGTCTCATTTAAAAAATAAAACAAAAAGAGAGAAGAGCCCCTATGTAGGGGAGTGACTGTGCTGGAAGAAGTGCAGACCTGTACTGTGATAGCTACTGTCTTTGGTCTAAAGAAAGTACAATCTCCTACCTTTGAAAAGAGCTCCCTTGCCAGCAGTGGCTCTCTGTGATAGTGTCTCCCTCTGGTCTGGTGACACGGGGCAGACAGATCTAAATTGGGAAGTGGCAGGGGGCCAAGCAGCCACTTTCACTCCAACACTGGCAGGAAATTGCCAAGAACAGCCTCTAGCAACAGACCTCAGGAACACTGTCTGTGACCTTGGAGATGTGAGGGTCATTTAGGTTCCCTTGCTTATATAGATATAGAGAAGAATGAGAAATAAACAAAAAATAATCTTTGAAGAGAGAGCAGCTGAATTTTTTAAGCTGGTGCTGATGGGGCTCAAGCGAACAGCTACCACGAAGAATAATGAATTTTATGTACTTTGCAGGGGCAAGGAAAGACTCATGGATCAGCTGGGATCTCTGCAGAGTAGGAGCATGTTCGAAACGTAGTTCAGCTCTCCAGTGGAGTAGAAAACCTGAAACTGGATCTCACTACATTTAAAAAACAAAACCCTCCTTTCTCTCCATCCATGAGATGTCCCAGTGTCTTAAGTGCTTGGCCCAGGGCTGTTTGTTTCATATCAGTTTATCTCTTTATTGAGCCAAACACTTTGGAGAGGAATTTAAATCACACCTCAGATAAGCTAAGACTTTTAAAAACTGCTATGGAAACATCACCTATTAAACTGTTACAATGATCTCATGAGGAGTGAACAGCAATTTTTAGTTGGTAACAAACTCAGAACTTCCATGTGACCACATGAGAGTTCTCTGCAAATGCCAGACTGAGGCTCAAAGACTAATTCAGAATTTGATAAGAAAAACATATAGGTGTAACAGTGAAGTGATTAAATCCATGTTGTACCAAGGGGGCTTGGCCTTCCCCGCCCGCCCCTTGGTGGGCAAAGCCAGAACACCCATGCCAGTCTTGCCAGAAGCAGAGTGGCAGAACAGAAAGAATAAAAGGCAGGCCCTGCAGCTCAGTTGGGCTGGAGCTGCTGGAGGAGACAGATGGCTCCTGCCAGGGACTGAACCCAATGGAGACCTCTACAGCGATGAGGACCCAGAGAGCTGCCATTAGCAGTGTACCTCGGGGAATTGGAGGAGAACCCCGAACAACAGGTATACCATGAGGGGAGTATAGGAAGTAGCCCAGGGATACCATATGTTAGTCCGGTTGTGGTGTTGCCTGAATCCAGGTCAGTGTTTGAGTCGGATCCCCGCTGACCCAGTGGTGAAAACCTCCACCACTGTTAAGGCCCTGGGCTGGGACCTGGTGCAACAGGGTGGGCCAGGGTCCCCCTATCCGTTGCTGACAACCCCACCCCTGGGGTGGCACCTCCCTACCTTAGGCCAACAGACTAGCATTTGTCTGCTCTCTGCCAGAGCCAGGATTTCCGACTGTTTGGTGCTCAGGCCCTGCTTGAGGGCCTGAGCCCCTGGACTCTCTGGTGCTTGGCCCTGCCTAGAGGACCAGGGCCTAAGGGGTGGTCTACACTACGGGAGGGGATCGATCTAAGTTACACAACTTCAGCTACGTGAATAATGTAGCTGAAGTCGACATACTTAGATCTACTTACTGCGGTGTGTCGACAGGAGACGCTCTCCCGTCGATTCCCCTGGTGCTTCTCGTTGATGTGGAATACCAGAGTCAATGCTAGAGCGATCAGCGGTCAATTTACATCAGACACAATAAATAGACCCCCGCTGGATCGATCGCTGCCCATCGATCCGGTCGGTAGTGTAGACAAGCCCTTAGAACAGGGGTGGGCAACTTTTTGGCCCAAGGGCTACATCTGGGTATGGAAATTGTATGACGGGCCATGAATGCTCACGAAATTGGGAGTTGGGAGGAGGTGAGGGCTCCGGCTGGGGGTGCAGGTCTGGGGTAGGGCCAGAAATGAGGAGTTCAGGGTGTGGGAGGGGACTGGGACCAAGGGGTTCGGAGAGCAGGAGGGGGATCAGGGCTGGGGCAGGGAGTTGGGGCACAGGAGGAGGTCAGGGTGCAGGCTCTGGGCGGCACTTACCTCAAGCAGCTCCCGGAAGCAGCGGGATGTCCCCCCTCTGGCTCCTACACAGAGGTGCAGCCAGGCGGCTCTGCACTCTGCCCTGTCCGCAGGTGTTGCCCCTGTAGCTCCCATTGGTTGTGATTCCTGGCCAATGGGAGCTGCGGGGGTGGCGCTTGGGGCGGGGCAGCGTGCGGAGCCCCCTGGTTGCCCCTACGCATAGGAATTGGAGTGGGGACATGCTGCTGCTTCCGGGAGCCACGGCACACATGGAGCAGGGCAAGCCCCCGACCCTGAAGGGCCGGATGTGGCCCCCGGGCCCATACTTTGCCCACCCCTGCCTTAGAAACTGCTATTTCCCCAGTAACCCTTGCCTTGCTAGGGACCCAAGTGAGGGGGCGTGGCTTCCCTTTGAGACTGACGGAGAAGGATGGCCATGCACTCCTACACATGTAAACAATTAAAAAACTAAAAACAGTAGTTTACACTTACATAACACTATTTGTTCCAAAGAACTCTAGACAATCAGCCGTAACTAAAACTTCTAAGGTGACACTCGGTGGCCATTCCACAGAACTCACCAACATGACACACAAATTGAAAACTTCTGTATCCAACTGAAAAGGCAGAGGAATTTAGGGAGAAAGAATGCAATAACCCACGTTGGAATTTGGCCAGGATGTCATGGTTAACTCTCTTACTCTTACAAAGAGCGCCATGGATGCTCTAAGAGCCACAAATGGTAAGGATCTTGGTTTTTAATTTTGTTGTACATAGTGGAACACAATGGAAAGCAACAAATCAGTGGTTTCGGGCTTTTTGTTTTTAAATGGACATAGTTGTATTAGTTTGAGGCTTGAGTTTTTGCACCTTTATTTCGACAAGCTGCCCATCTTGTAGACATTACTACAAACCATATCTTAAGTCAAACAATACCTGTATTTCAACAGGAAATTTTACTGTGTTGTGTATGATTTGACATGTGGTCATTATACAATACAGTGATCTCCATGTCAGACAGGAAAAGAAATGAATGTTTTAAGCACTTGACATGACTGCCAGATTGGGAGTTCAGGACAGATCATTCTTAATCTCAGTAATTTTTTTAAGCCACTTTCACTTGATCATACAACTTTATTTCTAAATCCCCCTTTCTAAGCCCTCTGCTGAGGTGATTGGGGAAGTGCACAAGTTCAAACACTGACAAATATAGGAAAAAAAGATTCAAAAGCCAAGAAGAATATCTTACTACAAATTATTCTGTCAGACCAAACACCATCTGAAATATTTTGGGGAAATTAACCTATCTCCAATTTCACCCTCCTCCCCTGTTTTCTTTAAGTTATAATTAGTGAGTATAACAGCAGTGAAAGGTAGTGGCTTGAGAGCCCTGCACTTATCTTTATTCACAGACCCAGGGCTAGTCTACACTGGCAGTGCTTTAACGAGGCTTGTGTAGCTGCGGCACAGCACTCTAAAAAGACCACCTCCACGAGGGGCTTGGCTCCCAGTGTTGGTGCACTGTCTACACTGGTGCTTTACAGCACTGAAACTTTCTGTGCTCTGGGGGGTGTTTTTCACACCTGAGAGAGAAAGTTGCAGTGCTGTAAAGTGCAAGCATAGACAAGCCCTAAGCTACAGTATGGACAGCAGTGAGGCAATTTCCTTCCCTCCTCACACACTGTCTTACCAGCCTTCCTGACCTCTACGGACTACATCTATGGGGTAGTTCAGTTTGTACAACTCATTCTGTTTATAGCCTCTTTGCTGAGACAAAGGTGCCAACTGTGATTTTTCTAATGTTGACAGGTATCCCCTAGGACCTACACAAAGACCAGGCCTACACTAGAAAAGGTTTTCCAGGATAGCTTTACTGACAAACCATACTAGTGTAGACACAGCTTTCACTGTCAAAAGAGTGCTTTTACTGCAAAGCTTAGTTTATTCCCCAAATGATATAACTATACCAGCAAAAGCATTTTTGTATTGGCATAACTGCCTTTACATTAGGAATTTTATCAGCATACAAATGTCAAAAAACCCCAAATGCAAATAGCTACCCCCTCAAACAAACATTTCTATACTGGCAAAAGTTTCTCATGTAGACCTGGCTTGAGATGCAGCTCTATTTCATATAGGCCATTGAACAGCCATCAGACAGCAATGACTTTTGGTCACTACTACTGTCTTGGGATGGATTTGAACTGGTAACCTAGAGGTCAAAATGTTCCTTATCCCATTACCCAAGAGTATAAGTTATTAACAGCTGTCTCTTAATATTAATTTGACTTTGTACCCTCCTGTAGCTAAAGAACTGGTCACCACACACAATTCTTCATATCATAGACTGCAATTACATCTCAGAATTAAGCTTTTCAAATTTCACACTTAGTTACAGAACTAGCCCCTTTAATTGTCATAACTAAATTTAACTCAGCAAAGAAAAGCCAACAAAACTGGCCAGATCCACCTCCCTTCTCCAGTGCTGCCCCTGCAACTCACTAGTCTTCATGCCCACTCTCCCTTTCAGGTTCCAGACAACAGACCTTACCAGTCCCTTAGGCTACTTATCTTTATGCCCCTTTTCTCTAATCTCTCTGTACCATAATAATCACAGCAGAAGTCGTTCTACATCAGATCTACTAATGTCAAGCGGACCAGGGTTCCTCGGGGGGAGAGCCACATGTTTGCCAGCCCAAGAAGCTGTTTTTGCAGCACGGCTGCAGGCGCCGCTCACTTCTAGGGCTACTTTCCCTGGAATGTCTCCGTTCCCTGCCCCTTCTCCCGAGCTCTCAGGTCCTATTACCAACCAGCGTGCAGGGAAGAGAAGTAACACCTAGAAGTTACACCCGAAGGGCTTGATCGCGTCTCCCTCTGCCCAACGTCCTAGGGGTCGCGAGGCTGCCGCTGCAGCCTCATGACCCTCAGCGGGACCCTTTGTCGAGGCCTCCCCGCCCATGCCCCGCGAGATGGGGTGGCTGGAGGGAGACAGCACCTCAGCAAGGACCCCGCCCCGTTGCTAGTGCCCATCTCCCGGCCGTGCACGAGGAGTCTCAGCCGGGCTCGCTCCGCCCCAAAGCCCACGGGGCTGGGTCCGCAGCCGGACCAGCAGCTCTCCAGAGCCAGGCTGCCCTTCCTTCCGTAGCCTCGGTACAGCCCAGTCCCCACACGGAGCCCTACCTGACCCCGGGGCCGGGGACACCCCGCGACCCTCACCTTGCCCTGCAGGGGCGGGACCCCTCGCGCCCCACTTCCTACCCTACCTGCCGATCCCGGTCACCATGGCCACAGCCGGAAGTGGGCGGGATTCGTCGCTCGACCAATGAACGCGCTGCCCGCCCTTTCGCGTCACCAGGAGCGAGACGGTTCCTTCGCTGGGGGTGCGCCGGCGTGAGGCGGATGTTGCCTGCTTCGGGCCGGAGCGGATGATTGAAGGAACGGACCAGCGGGTCCGGCTCACTTACCCTTCGGCCGGGAAACATAGGCTCCTCCATGGGGTTCCGCGAGGCAGAGAAATACACACCCACCCCCCCGCACCGTGTCCAGGCTAAGCCGGTCCCCTTGCCTCGCTGGGGTCCCAAAGCTCGGGGCCTGCCCGTATATTACCTAGGCACGGGGCGGGGGCTGTGTCGGTGTTACAAGGTGCGAGGCTTGAAAATCACCGGGAAACGTGTTCTGGGATTTCCAGGGCAGCCCCTGGTAGCTGTGGGGGTTCCCTCCCAGCACGGCGAGCTGCGGTGCGCAGCCTCTGCCTAGGCCCACGGCCTGCGGTTCCTTCTCCTCCTCCTCCTCCTCCTCCTGCGGCCCCTCTGCGGCAGCCACGGGCCCTGGGGCCCTCCCGGGACGAGGGGTGAAAAGCCTTGGCTCCAGAAAGAGTAGTGGTGCCTCCCCTAATGGAGGGAGGGAAATAATGGGGCACGTGGGAAAAGAGGAAAGAGAAGGGGGAGAAAGACGGCAATGACTTCAGAGGAGGAGTAAGCCTTGTGTCTGCCCCTGTTGCCCTAAATCACACCCGGACGAAAGGGGTAGCAGGACACCAGCCTTGCTTGCCCAGCCCCAAAAGGCTAGTCCAGGTAGGGGAAGTCAGTATCTATTGAAGGAGAGGTGTGGTAATGGGTGCATTGTTATGGGGCCTGGTAGTGATGCTGTTGCCACTGCAGGTTTAAATAAGTGTCCAAATGGATCCCCATTTGTGGGCTCCTGACACTAATTAGGTATGTGTTGTTATGGCGAATCCGCCATTGGAGGCGGAGCAGAATCTCATATTGAATTGAGATAGTATCGCAGTGCTATATATGGAGTAGAGAAGATCAGTGGATATTTGAACCAATGATGTTGGAATAGTTTTTATGGGGGGTTACTGAAAGTCACTGAACTAAACTGTGAACCCTGTATATGATGGAAACCACTTCAAGCCAGTGGGTGCAGCAGCCCCCCAGCACCTGTAGTTCTAGCCCCCCTGGGTAAAATGAAATTTTAAGAGCAGCCTGCAGTCTATGTCAGTTCTGAGGCCCCGATAACTAGAATGACAAGTGTTAAGAGGATATAAAGGAAAGACAAGTTAAAAGCAATATACATGGTTTCATGTGTTTGTGCCACTGCATTTATTTTGTTTTAACAGTCAAATAACATTACTGCTTATCTGAAGCCAGGGGGTATGTTTTCAGAGCTATAAGGCAATTTCTGAGGTTTTGTTATGTGATGAACTGAACAGGAGTTAACACACTGTTACATAAACTGACTCCCACTTTCTTGATCATGTGCCATGGGCTAATGTCAAGGTGTGACAAAATGATCCCTGAGCAGAATTTTGAAAAACAGCTTAACTGGAAATGTCAAAATGACACTTAGGCCTCAAAAATGGCCCCAAATGTCCTGCATTATATAAAGATGACTTTTTTTAATACAGGGCACCTGATAGACAGATTTCACTCAGACTACTACATAATAATAAATGGAGATATCCCATCTCCTAGAACTGGAAGGGACCTTGAAAGGTCATTGAGT